ACATGTATCTGTTAGTGTGTTTAACTTTAGTCTTCCTGATATTAGTGGAAACATGTATCTGTTAGTGTGTTTAACTTTAGTCTTCCTGATATTAGTGGAGAGTGGTTCAGAGAATGAGCAAGTGCATCAGATTTATACTTGTTTGAAAATAAATAACTGGAGTTTTAAGCAGGGATTTAAACAGTAAGATGTTATGTTTAAAATTGTTACATGATCTGTTTAAAACTGTTACATGATGTGATTTGAATACTAAAAGTAGCAAGCATAGGCTTAGGAAGTGCTAACTCAGACCTGTGCTAAAGTGAAGTTACTTCCCTGCTAAGAGTTATTTACTTGTAGCACAGTTTGCTTACTTAGCAAGCTGATAACCTGGATCCTTTTAAGATGTTATTGGCTGGGTCCCTGGATGTGAAATGTGACACTTAAGGGGAGGTTATTTTGATATTCATTTATCTTAATTGACCTAGATGGGCTATGTGGCTTTGAAATTTAGACGTATTAAACCCGAACATTCCTTTAATTCTCATACCAGTTACTTTGTTGTTGTTTATTTGCTATTTACTATACAGTTTTACTCGCTGAAAAATGGAAACTGCTCATGGGGGTGGGGTTAATCTAAATTTCCATTCAGTTTCTTAATAATTTTGTGAATTTCATGCAGAAGTAATCATCAGAAGATTTGGTTATCTCAGGGAGAAGTAAGAATTAGTTGATATTTTAGATCATTGTTTCCCTAGCCTGGGGTCATGGCAGGTTCCGGTGGGGTCGCTAGTTTGGCTGACCAAAAAACCTGAATGGCAAGTTGAAATACATTTTGAACAGATGGGGTCACACTGATATGGGACATCTGAAATGGGGTTAGCACTGAAAAACTACTGCATTAATAATATTAGTAAAAGTTATGTTAATAACAAATAATAATCCCTAAAATTTGACCTTGTATTGCCTATGAATACAATACTGACCTATTACCATCTTTAAAAATTCTGTTACTATATGTTTAAACATTTCTTGTCTTTTTTTTTCTTCTAGATTTTTCCATCAGATAAACATTTCACTTTGCTGCAGCTGAACATTTCCCTATTTACACTGAACTTTCTGGAAGTAACTATGTCAGAATCTGTGAGAAAACTGTCGTAAGTTATCATGATTTAGTTTTTCTTTGTAGCTAGCTAGCTGTTTGAAAATGTATTATTACTAATGGACTTGGACACCAACTGATGAATCAGTATATTCTAATCAATTGTTACACATTTTCTAGATGTACAATTTTGCAATACTTCGACTGATATTTTAAATTAGCTACATTATTTATCAAGTGAATTTTTATTTCTAATCCATTTAGGTAGCTCTAGCTATTTGTAATTTTATCTGTTTCATTAGTGACAAGAATCGTGTGAGAATAAAAGAAGTCCTCTCAATTTTTTCAGGTTTTTAGCTTATTATTGAGTCTTCAAATCAGTTTACTGAAAAATGAATTAAGCACTGTTTTGGAGGTATGAACAAGACTGAGAACTTGATTTAATACACGATTAATCATAATTTATGTGTAAAGACAACTTTAAGGCATCTAAGAGTATGTACCAGATATGATATTAATACAACATGATACATTCAAGTACCATTCCCCGAAGCTTAAAGCTTATCCACAGGAAATTTACTATTTAAAATTAAATTAAAATTGATCACACAATACTCAGAAAATACAATAATAGTGTAATATAATACATTCTCAGTTTGAATGTTTTTTAATTGTACATATATTAGTCCATAACATTATTTTTGTGTTATTAACCAGTTTTTAATCTGTTTTTTTTTCTTTGAATTATATTAAACAAACTTGGTACTTGATAATGTAGTTTTACCATAGGTATTTTTTACTTCAGATATTTTCTGAGTTATTCAACAAAGTATGTAGTTCACAAATTTTACTGAGTGGTTATAAAATAAAACAGTACAGCCCATATTTATTATGTGATTTTCAAAGAAGACCAATGATTCTCAAGAATCACTTGCATGTGAAATTGCTTTTACATCACAATATATGTTAAACACACCATTAAAAACTTTGTTGATACAAACTTATAACTGCAGGGGCCACAGTTGTATGTACATTCACTGCTTCTGTGTCCACATGACACAAGTAATGATATTTAGCACTTGAATTACCAGTGGGGATCAGTCCCCTCCCCTAATTTGCTTTTTCAATACATTTTTCTAAACTATTTAAGCACCAAATTGTTTCTGGGAGTATGACTTTGTTGGTTACAGAATCTGTAATAACATGACTATCATTATAATGTTATTAATGCCACTTAATACTGAGGTTCTTTTTTGTATTTTACATAGAAAATGAATGATTTCAGCCAGTTCTTTACATTGAGTAAAAAACATAAAATTACTCAGTATGGGCCCCACCACTGATGAAAGATATAAAAACAAGTCAGTAGTTTAAGGATAAGGAACTGTATATCCTAATTCAGCCACATGTCAATTAACTGCAAAATTGTAATATATTTTCAGTAAATATGTATTTTATCATAAATTTTCTAAATTAGAGGAACACACTGGATGAAGTTAAGAGCTAAAAAATGTCCATTTTATCAGTTTAATAAATGTAACATAATCAGTATATACAATTTGTGTAGGAAGATGATCGCTTTTAGACGTGATACATCGACAGACTTTAGGACATCCTGTAAATGTGGTAGATACATCATTGGCTCTGATTTTTTCCTAGCTAAAAGCAAGACATATTTCACATGAAGTTAAATAAAGATTAGAAATTATTCACGTATAAGATTTTTAAATGATTAAATAATGGACACATTTTCTTCATTGTTTTAAGGGAATGTCCACTCTTAGTTAATATTGTTTAGATTCGGGCATATGAAACAAGCTCATTCTATTGAAGTAGAAAAAAAAAGTAAGTTTTTCCATAGTTAGACAGATTGTTGTGCAGTATGTATTGGTCATTTCATAAAAAAAATAGCATAAGAGGTGATACCTACAGAAAATAAACGTGTGATTTGAACTTCGTAAAGTTTTAGTGTCAGGGATGAGCAAAGAGTTATTTCTTGGTAAAATAAGATGAAAAATGTAGACTTTAAAACAAGCACATAGCCAGATCTGGAAGTGGGGGGTTCTTTATGGCCCAAAGTGGAACTCATTTCGTGTGTAACTTTAGTACCCAGAAATGAAAAAAAAATTTCGGAAATATGTAATGGTTCCTTTGTTATCACTGCAAATAAAAATTTTTAGTAAATTTCCTCTGATAACTATGAAAATGCTATTTATAATTAGAGGCCATCATGAAAGAAAGGAAAAAATAATTGTTAATAGGTGAGCGAAACTCTGACGGGAGTGAGGGTTTGCACTACCCCTTGCTATGGGTTTGCTTTAAAAAGATATCTGTGAAACGTAAATTTATTATATTATGTTTTTTAACAAGAAACTAAATTTTATGAAAATACTTCAATTTTCTTTTTATACAATCCATTTCAGACACTTTAGGATTAAGAGCATGAGGACTAATGATATAATATTGAAACAAAGTAATGTAAGAGCACAGTTAATACCATGTATGAACCTCTGTTTGTTTACAGTTATTCCTCAAACTCAAGCTAGACATTGTGTGATAAGGCAGGTTAGGATGAGGTTTGCACAAGATGAAAGAATTGGTTTTGAAAGGAAAACTGAATGATCTTTCTTGTTTTACAGGACGTCCAGTGATTCCCTATACAAAAACTGAATGATCTTTCTTGTTTTACAGGACGTCCAGTGATTCCTATACAAAAACTGAATGATCTTTCTTGTTTTACAGGACGTCCAGTGATTCCCTATACAAAAACTGAAAGAACTTTCTTGTTTTACAGGACGTCCAGTGATTCTCTATACAAAAACTGAATGATCTTTCTTGTTTTACAGGACGTCCGATGATTCCCTATACAAAAACTGAATGATCTTTCGTGTTTTACAGGAAGTCCAGTGTTTCCTTATACAAAAACTGAATGAACTTTCTTGTTTTACAGGATGTCTGGTGATTCCCTATACAAAAACTGAATGATCTTTCTTGTTTTACAGGACGTCCGGTGATTCCTATACTAAACTGAAAGAATTTTCTTGTTTTACAGGACGTCCGGTGATTCCTATACTAAACTGAAAGAATTTTCTTGTTTTACAGGACGTCCGGTGATTCCCTATACAAAAACTGAATTAACTTTCTTGTTTTACAGGATGTCCGGTGATTCCCTATACAAAAACTGAATTAACTTTCTTGTTTTACAGGATGTCCGGTGATTCCCTATACAAAAACTGAATTAACTTTCTTGTTTTACAGGATGTTCGGTGATTCCCTATACAAAAACTGAAAGAACTTTCTTGTTTTACAGGACGTCCGGTGATTCCCTATACAAAACTGAATAATCTTTCTTGGTCTTTGCAGGATCTGG